TCAGCAATTTTTTTGCTTAGCAACAATACAATCAAATGGCATTATTGCTACGCCCACGCGGAAGTTTCCAATCCCTTTCATTTACTCTATTATCTATGACCCACCTCTGATAAACTTGCCACTCCTTTTTGCTTAACTCAATAAATTTACTTATTTTTTACTTTCATTATTACAGGAGATATTGTACCGCCTACTGCTAACCCTATTAGTACTGAAGACACTCCAGCTGCTGACAGGATACCAGACACTCAAAATCCACTCATAGAAGGTATGTATCATTATGGCTGCATGGAAATATTTATGACTTGAGAACAATATTGGTGGCCAGGAGGCCATGGTCCCCCAATAAAATTCTTAACAATGATTGCTTTTAAAAATCTATTTGATATTGAAAAATTTCATTATAAATTTATAATATACATGCCACCATCATGCAACACTTGTGGGATTGCCCTCCCCTCCAATGTTTCATTCTCATGTATAAAAATTGTGCAGGATTTAAACCATATTCACAAAACCACACAAATTAATTCCTCACTAACTTTTTCAGCCATACAGTAATAATAATTATTATTACACACAGCTGTATAATATAAGGCCATAATAAATAAGCTTTGATCTTTTCATTTATGTATCATTTGGTTTACATTGATCACAACGTATCACTTCATATCGATCCACCTCAAATTATGGAGGGACTAAAATTTGGCAAATTGCTAAATTTTGGTGATTGGCAATTTTTTGGCCACGTGCCATTCAGCATGCGTATAATGATTCAAAATGGCAGATTTTTATATTGGCAAATGGCCATAGAAATGCCAAATTCGCCAAATTTAATTCCCTCTAAAATTTCCCACGATACGGTATTCTTTGTACAATTTTTCCTTGCAAGAAGTTGAATTCAACTAAACTTTCCAACTTTTAATACATGGTATTATCCTTCTAAAATTTATATATACCATAACCATTGCAACATCCAACTTTTAAACAGACTACAGCAACATTATAACTACTATTGTTATTATAGTAGCTACAGACAACCCACAACTGATAATCCTGTCACTCCTTTGGCTTAACTCAATAATTTTACTTCATTATTGCAGGACATATATGGACTACTCCAGCTGCTGACAGAACACCAGACACTCAGAATCCAGCCACACAAAGTATGTATAATGGCTTGCAAGAACCACCCTAGTGTGAACACTATGCACATTACTTTGCTACTGATTACTGTCTCATATATGGTGTTACATTATTTAGGAAAAATAGAAAAATGGCTGAAAGAAGGTGAAGTTAAGCTAGAAATCACTCGTATCAATATGCATGGTGCACCTGGAGCTGGTAAAACGTGTTCACAACACCTCCTACTTAATGAGCCACCACCTGAGAAACTCACTGATAGTACACCAATAGCTTGTCCTGCTGTTCAAGCAACAAGAATATCCATTGATGGTAAAAATAAGTGGGAGAGGGTTAAAGAAGAAGATTTACTTAACCAGCTTGCATCTTGTTTAAATGAAGCACCAAATGAAGCAGAGCATATAAGAGAAGCACCAGTGCCTGCAAATCCTGTATCTGTTCGTTCAGAGCATTCTTCACTGGAAGCAGAACCGCCTGAGAAGAAACCAATTGAGGAGGAACAACTTGAGAAGAAACCAACCGATATGGAAGTAATTAAAAAAATAGTAAGTGCTCTTGAAGCAGAAAAGTTTGCAAAATTAAGCACAAATTGGGTTTATTTTATTGATTCTGGTGGTCAACCAGCATATCGAGAGTTACTACCTCTTTTTACAAGAGCAGCTGCACTGAATATCATCACCATTGATCTTACCAAAGGTCTTGATAAGAAGTGCCAGTTTCAATATCGTATCAGTCAATTAGAGTATCCTATTAATATAAATCAGAGTTATTCCAATCGTGATATAATCCAATCAACAGTTAGCTCCGGAGCTATGTTTAATCCCATTGAAATTCCTTATGTCTCTGAGTGTAACAAGAAAAAAAATATCCACCCTCGCTATTTCGTACTTGGCACACGTAAAGATAAGTTGGAAGAGAATGGCACACTAGATGAGCTGGAAAAAATGAATAAAGTGCTGCTTGAAGAACATAAAGCTAATACAAAAGTCATTAGGAATCATCAGGATCACGACAATATTATATATCCAGTTAACACAATGCTCAAAGGGTCAGAAAGAGAAGAAGCTAGTGTAGCTCTTTGTACAAAAATTTCAAGTTTTGGAGTTGCCATGACAATTCGTATACCAATTCGCCTGTTTGTTTTTGAGATTTCTCTACAAAGAGAAGCTAAGCAAAAGGGACGAAGCTTCCTTACAAAAGAAGAAGTTAAGGAAATTGGTAAGGCTCTCCGACTTGATGAAGAATCAGATATTGAAAAAGCTCTGCGATATTTACACAACGTCACTATCATTCTTTATTATCCTGATATCTTAGAGAATATAATATTTGTTGATCCTAAGCCGATTCTTGATGTCCTTTCACTTCTAATAGCTAGCACATACACCTACCGTACAGAAGCAGATAATTTGAGAATATTGGGCCTCTTTAATGAAAATCTTTTACAATCTTTTGGTAAAGAAATATTTGAACATGCTGATTTTGAATCGTCTCACATGATCAAGCTTCTAATACATCTCCACATCATTGCTAAAGTTGAAAACAGAGAAGAAGGAGATTATTTTTTTCCATGTGCATTACCATCTCATGGTGAGCTTAAAGCCCCTCCAACAGTAATACAACCACTTCTCATAGCATGGAAAATCGAAAAAAGAGATGAAATAACTCTAGCCATCCCTCAAGGATTATTTCCCTTAACCATTGTACACCTTTTAGAGAAAAGAGATGACATACGCTTCAGTCCAGTAGACAAAGAATATTACAGATGTAACAATGCAATGTCACTTCGTGTTTTTGAAGAATACCACATTGATATCATCAATCGCTATACACATCTTGAAATACGTGTTCGTGGTCATTGTAGGGACATTTGTCCACAAATTCGTGAATTAGTCTCAGAAGCTGTTGTAGATAGCTGTAAAGATCTCAAACTTAAGGAAGATAATAAGTTTGTTTTTGCTTTCAAATGTCCCCCCAGAAACACTTGCATTGTCAAGGAAGATAAATGTTCTACCTGGTGTACTCAATGTCCAGTACAATGTAAAGTACTGCAAGGTGATGATGATAGCTATAGATGTTGGTTTAGTGATTGTCAATCATCCAGTCCAGGTTAGAGTTATAATAATAATGAGAATGATGATATATAATTAATAATTAATATTTTAAAAGGAGCTGCTGAGACTGGCATGATAAGAAAAAGAACACATAGTATGAAAGGTAGTTTGATTTATCATCAGTGATTCTACATGTCACTTCACCAATTTTATTACTAATAACAATTATTATTCTTTTCATATTACAACATACTTTATTCTAGGAGCTGAACCATCATTAGAAGGTCCACCTACTAAGAGACACAAAGGGCAGTTAGGTAAGCATATATTAGACTAGAAATTACTAAAATTGAATCGCTTGCATAAGCTGACCACCAACCACAATTAAACTACAGCTACTACAGCAGGTTTGTGTGGGTATGAGTAGAAGTGGGTGAAGTGGGTAGTACATGTATACCTGATACTGTAATATGATACTACTGAAGGTTATCAGTCTTAGTCTACAGTCCACCACTGATAAGTCTGTCACTCCCTTTGGCTTGATGAAGCTGTTTACTGACCTCTACTGACAGTAGAGGACACATTTGAAAATATTGACTGCCTGTAACCAATTGTGTAACTTTTCAAGAGTTAACAATCTAGGCTATGGCTCTCTGCTTAGGCTAAGATAGTAAACAGATTTTGTCATGAAATTCATTTAAAACCTAATTAGCTACTGCATCAAAAGTCTTCCTTAAGGTAGCAGTTACAGAAACCACAATTATGTGGGAGGGCTGAGGGCCCCATAATCAACTTATCTCTGTCCCTCCAAACAAGCACAGCTGCTACTCATAACGCCCACATATTAATAGTAACACTACACACATAAAGTGCTTTGTATTGATAAAGATCTGCTAAAGTGATCCTCTTTATGTTGTCCTCTTTAGATGGAGGAGCTCAAGCAAGAGCTGGTGATGAGGATATTGATGGATCTGCATCACAAAGTAATTTACTAACACAATACAGTAGTTTACTACATACATGTACTTGGATATACTTTTACTGACACAATAATTCAGACCATGCTATTTAGCTTGTAAGGTGGTTATAATATTAAGTTGTAGCACAAGAAGCTTCACAGCTTTACACACAGTTCAGTGATGCTGTGATACCAATAGGGCAAAATTTTTTAGGGCTGTAAATTTTGCAGATTTCGCAATTTTTGAAAGTTCACGAAAATTACTTCCATGAAAATCAAATTATTAGGGCACAAAATGGCACATGGTATAAATTCGCGAAAATTAGATCTGCGAAATAGATTTTTATTTTTTAGGCAAATTTGCGAAATTTACAAAATTTACAACCCTCGAAACTTTTGCACTATATGGTACTAGCCAAAGTAATACCTTAAAGCCACTTATTTTAAAGTAGACAAATATTTGCAATTTATTAATTGTATCAATATAGCATGTACTAATTTTTTTTTTGCGATTTTGCTCCTTTTTTAAATTAATAACTGTTAATAAACCTAAATTATTGATAAAATGTGATTAGTAATTTTTTTTGCGATTTTTAAAACCACTCACAAAAACACAAAAATTAGTACTTGCAAATAATAGTGGCTTTAAGGTGTACTGCTAAAGCAATTACTGCAGCTGCTGAGAGGATACCAGGAATCCTCAGATTAAGTATATTTTTGTCAGACACTTGTAGCAATAATTATTGATATGTATTTGTGTTAATACAGTAGCCTTGCCACCTCATATCAGATACCACCTGATACCTGAATTCCTCTCCCTTCTTTCTTTTCTTTCTCAATGAAATTCATTAATTAATGATTGATTGTTGCTTTCATGTACTAGGGTTGATTGAGAAATATACAAAGATGACAGATGAGTTTGATTTCTCATTATTGGATGCTGTAAAAGAAGCTGTGGCCATAAAGTCTATAGATGATGTTAAGAGGTGTCTATTGGATCTAATTAAAGTTGCTGATTGGGCAAGTGAAGTTGATGCAGTGAAAGATAAGACATCTTTGGAAGAATTACTTCGGCGATATTGTTTCCTTTCTAATTTATCTCTACTGAAGTGGATAGCAAAGAAGCTTGACCTCAAGGAATCAAAGTCAAGGATTGACCAGCTAGCTAAAGAGAGAGATGCCTTCTATAGTGAAGTACTTGCCAAAGACTTTGCTGCTGCAGCAATTAAGGATCACGAAATCATCAAAGAGCATCATGTGGAGGTAACCTTTATTTAACATGTTACAGTATATGATTATTATTAATTTTAGATGACTGTTGTTGTGTCATGGAGTTCATCTGAGACAACCCTAGGAACATTTCAAGACTTCATCACTAAAGAGTTTAAAGATCTCTCCATGTTCATAGCACTGACAACTGTACATCACAGCTGGCTGACATTTGTTTGTACTATAGCATACTTGTGTGTAGATGCTGTCAAACATGCAGCTGTTAGTTTAGAAAATGGAATTCTACAAGTCATACTTAATAATCAAGGTATAATAACAGGTATCATTATAATTGCACATGGCACTACATGATAGCCTTATCTTATTACAAGAGGTCATTTAATCATGTCAGATTATAAAATAATCTTTTCGTAGGTCTCCCTATTCATGAGCAACATGGTGTCATTGAATTTGAATATGAAAACAACAGGTTTAAAGAGATAGCATACGAAATGAATAAGCTGTCCCGTGGCTACTGTATAATAATTAACATGAAAAAAGACCGTGAGACGGGAAATCAAGAAGATGTTGATAGTTTGCGTACCTTATTTAAAGGTACTCTTAAATTCACCGTTGGAGTATATGATGATTTAACCGAGGAACAAATTGAAATGCTGATGGGAAATATTAGGGAAGCTGATCACACTAAGCTGTGTTGTTTCGTAATGTTCATTCTTGCTCACGGTGGAACTGATGGGTCTACTTATTTTCAAACATCAAATGAGAAAAAAGTGAAAGTATCGAGCATTAAGCATCAGATTGCAGAGATTGATGGGTTGAATGGTAAGCCAAAGCTGCTCTTTCTCCAGTTATGCCGAGGAACTACTCCTGATACTGGAGTGTTAGAAGTAGCAGATGAACAGCCTAGATATGTCACAATACCAACTGGTTCCGATTTTTTGACATCTTTCGCGACAATTGAGAATTACATTTCCTGCCGAAATCGCAATGGATCTCGTTTTATTCAAAGTTTATGTGAGGTCTTCACTGCCCATTATACTATGTTTGATGTTGTGACAATGATGACCATGGTCACCAGGAAGGTAGCTGATATGTCTCGTGCAGTGAGGAGGGGAGATGGGACTATAGTAAATAATGTGAAGCAAAATCCAGAGACTACGTTCACGTTTAGAAAGACTCTTTACTTTGGAAAACCTGAGCAATCAACACATGATTACATTTTGCGGCAGCAGTAATAGATGCTACTTAGATTTTTGAACATTTTTCACATAATTATTAATAAATTATTTAATTTTAATCAGCCACTCCCTAGGCCTAAAATGAATGCATATCAAGCCTTTATAAGCAGTGTCCACATAAAAGGATGCAATTATGAATACAGTAACCATAGTGCCTCAGTTTGTTAAAGTGATGTTGGATTGACTATTGACTATTGACTACAGTACATGTATACAGTAATATAATAGCAGCATTATTGTACATATACATGCACAGTACATATATGGAATACTATAGTCAATAGTGTCTGCTGGAGTAGAGGAGGAGGTGTCTGTTATAAGGAGTGTATCTGTTAATAGTATCACATTGTACTAATAATAGTGATAATAGTATTTAATAATAATTGTTTTTAATAGTTGTTTGTCGTTCTCAAACTGTTTGACTGCTCCCACTACTGTCACTAGTAATGTTATCATATCTTCAATGAGACACTGGATATATTATAATAATTGTTAGTTTTATAGTAACTGCTGGTAGTTCCGTCAACAACAGCTGCTACTAGAGACTAATGAATACCTAATAAATGATCCAGTGATCACTGATGTACATTATACACTTAATGTTATAAATAGGAACTAATGTAGCTTCATATTGTTCATCATGTAATGTGTTTGGTAATCGACTTGATTTTAAATCATTTTGTAGATGTTGA